GGGCTATGTAGGCACCCCCCCCCCCCCCCCCCCCGCTGACCCCCAGAGAGAGCAGACCTCTCGGCGGCCGAGATACGAGTGGACGACCTGTGGCATCACTACCGCGTGGAGCATGCCGTGGCCGACGGGGCTAAGAATGCACTCCGTCTGCTGAGTACTGCCAAGGTCCACGACAAGAAGGCCATCTCAGAGGTCAGAGGTCAAGCCAGAGCGGCTGTAAGGTTGCTGGGTCTAGGATGAGGGCCTGCTATGGTACTGTAATGTAGGACATTTTACGGTATAAATAAAACACTCCTGCTTCTAATTCAGCTTTTGCAATAATGTTCATTTAGTTCACGCTATGGTGAATCAGAGCTGCGTAATTGTCCATGTATGTGAATCGTGTGTCTGTCCTGCGGCAGGATGGTGCCCCATCTTGGGTTGTTCCCTGCTTTGTGCCTGTAGCTTCTGGGATGGGCTCCGGACCCCTGTCTCTCTGCATAGGCCAAGCGGACGCAGAAAATGGGTGGACTGTTGGACTTCTAGGTTTTCAGCATAACATAATAAGATATATTCCCACCTTGCCCTTCCACCCTCTCTCTCTCTCCCGTGTCTCGTGCTGACAGGCCTGGGGTCAGCTGAGCGAGTCCTCCGAGCGGCTGGACGTCTTGCATCGGTCTCTGGAGCAGCGGCTGGCCGAGCTTCCTGAGGACGATCCCAAGGTCCGCCTCATCTGGGAAGAGTTGGCGCTTTCTACCTCCTCTGCCTTCAGTTCTTGTAATAGTGCCCCCTCCCTGTACAGCCAGTATAGGATGTTCAGCAGGCCCTCTCCGGTTACGGGTAGGTGGTCTGTTTATGCATTTTCATACAGCTGCAGATCAGCATCAGTATTGTTATCAGTTTTAGTGTTGATGTCAGTATCAGTCTTAATATCAGTGTTGATGTCAGTATTGGTGTCAGTGTTGATGTCAGTGTCATTTTTGGTATTGACTTCAGCATCATTCATATTTACTGTTATTATCAAGGTCAGTACTAGTATTCAGTGTTTAATAACGCTAGTATTCATAACACTGTCAATGTTGATGCTGACATCAACATCTGCGTTGACGTCACTGTCAGTGGTGGTATTGTTGTCAAGGTCAGTACTGGTATTATGTCAATGTCAGTCTTCGTAACGCTGTCAGTGTTGATGTCACTGTAAGTGGCGATATGCTTATCAAGGTCAGTACTGGTATTATATCAATGTCAGTCTTCAAAACTGTCAGTGTTGATGTCACTGTCAGTGGGGTATGCTTATCAAGGTCAGTACTGGTATTATGTCAATGTCAGTCTTCACAACGCTGTCAGTGTTGATGTCACTGTCAGTGGGGTATGCTTATCAAGGTCAGTACTGGTATTATGTCAATGTCAGGCTTCATAACGCTGTCAGTGTTGATGTCACTGTCAGTGGCAGTATGCTTATCAAGGTCAGCACTGTTGTGAGTCTCAGATTCAGCACGATGGCATCATTCCATCACTGCCTCCACTCGCTCCCCTTTAGGCTCCCTTCAGGTGCGTCTGCGGGGCTGCACGGGGCTCCAGGAGACGATGCCAGCACGCATACGGGGAACAGCAGCACTGCTGCCCAGGGAGGGACACCCTTTCATGTGCAGCACTAAGAGCCGGAGCAGCTTCAGCAGTAAAGGCCTCAGCAGGGCAGACATGCTGTCCTGTGAGTCAGGGCACCTGTGTGTGCGTGTGTGGACACTGCAATTAATAATGTTTTGAAAGTGCTTGCAAAGGTGACAGGCTAGTGTGTGTGTATTGCACAGCGGAGGTGAGCGCAGTGCTGAAAGTGGAAAACACGGTGGTGGGACAGACGGCCTGGAGGAACGTGGGGGAGCAGGCCTGGGAGCAGACGCTCACGGTGCAGCTGGAGAAGGTAAACGGCTGCGTTGGCACCATTTCACTCATGTGAGTTTTACTTACGCAAAAATGTCCTGAGAGCAGAATGAAAAATTATTGGTTCAGAGAGATAACTAATCAGATTGTAGAGTAGGTGAGTCCAAGCAAATAGAGGAGGCAGGACCAAGACACCTGATTGGTTGGTCCTGCCTCCTCTAGTTGCTTGGACCCATCTTCTCTACAAGTTGATTGGTTCAGAGGGATAAGGGATTTTTCCTTCTGCCATCAGAACATTTTTGTGCAACTTAAACTCTGACCGAAAACAAGTCCCCCACCCCCAGACCACATAACAAGGCCGTTTAACACAGCACCCTGATTTGAAGTGTGAAGGGGGTTTCAACAGAAGCATCTATGGGGAAAATAACTGGGCCCATTCTGGTGTACATGAAGTGTATCCTGGTCCTCCAGTCCAGGGAGATGGAGATCGCCATCTACTGGCGGGATGGCCGCTCCCTCTGCGCCCTGAGGTACCTGAAGCTGGAGGATTTCCTGGACAACAAGAAGCATGAGGTGCAGCTGGAACTGGAGCCACAGGGGCTGCTTTTGGCTGAGGTGGGACCCCTGACCCCCCCCCCCCCCCACACCAAAGCAGACATGCATGTGACCGGATAGTGTGGTGATGCATCTGTGTGACATACAGGTGACCTTCTTCAACCCGACCATCCAGAGAGCTGTGAGACTGCAGAGACAAAAGAAGGTGTTCTCCAAACAGCACAGTGAGAAGGAGGGCGTCACTGTGTGTGTGTGTGTGTGTGTGTGTGTGTGTGCAACTCATCATTGTCACTCAAACTGTATGAACACTACAGAAAATATATGAATGCATTGATCCCTTTTGCAAATTTTTTACTTTCAGTTTTCTTTTTTTTTTTTTTACAATCACGAATATTTCGTTGTATTTCATGCATGCTCAAACAGTAATTGTGGTCCGGCTTTTAAACGTTGTTTTAGACAATGCTGACCTCTAGCGGCCAGACAGTGTTACTGCCTCTTCCCAGCTTTCGGTGAATTTACACGTGCTTGGTTCGGTGCAGGCAGGGCACTGCTGCATGCCCGGCAGATGAACATGGACGTGACCACGTGGGTGCGGCTGCTGAGGAATCACATCCCCGCGATCAGCCCATCCGCATCTTCGCAAAGCTCGCGGTAACGTCGTTCACTTTCTTTCCAAGGCCTGTTCTACTTTGACACTCTGATTTTACTGAAGCAGTTTAAACCTGCAGCCTCCTGGTGCCTGGATTACTCCTGTAACTTCGTAGTTTGTTCATAGCTTCTATGGACATTCGTTTGCTGATGCGTTTTGTGTATCTTTGGCATGTCAGGGAGAGCTCAGTGCGGAGGACAAGCCTGAGTAGAGATTTAGCACGGAAGAGTGACAGCAAGCGAGATCCGGGGGCAAATACACAGGTAGGTAGCATTCATTTCTATAAACATAATCCCAACACCCCTACCCATCCCTAACCTTAACCACAGGTAACCAATCTGTTACAGCGAGGCAATTCAAAAAATGACAACAATCCATATAGCAACTCCAACAAACAAAATGACTTTATTATACTCAAAAAACAGACAAAAAGAAAGAACCACGAGGGGTCAAAACGATACAGGTAAAGGCCAAAACAAAGGCAGGGGGCAACACAGGAACAGCAATAGTAGACCAGCAGCAAGCATAAGGCAACCAACAGCTACAACACACAGCGGCAACCAACAGCTACAACACACAGCAGCAACCAACAGCTACAACACACAGCAGCAACCAACAGCTACAACACAGCAGCAGCAACCAACAGCTACAACACACAGCAGCAACCAACAGCTACAACACACAGCAGCAACCAACAGCTACAACACACAGCAGCAACCAACAGCTACAATACACAGCAGGAATGAAAGATGCTTAGAGATGCTTGAAACACTGAAGACAGTAGCAGACATAAAGTACCTCAGGGCCAGCTCTACCTTTCCAGGGGCCCTAGACAAAGCTTTATTTGGAAGCCCCCCCTACAAAGAAAACTGATGATCATCTCACTTCCTGCGCACCGCAGGTAATTCGGGCCCCCAGGTGACCCCCTATTCTGCCGGCCCTGCCTGCAGCAGCCGCTTGTAACCTAGTAACCACCTATAGAATAAAAGCTGAGGAGGTGGGAAGCCATAGAGGTGGTCAGTACTGATTGGCACTTCAGCACCAGCCCCAGGTTTGAATTGACGGGAACAGGGACTCTCTCACATTTACATGTATTCATTTAATGACACTTTTGTTGGTTGTTCCTATAACAAAAAGATGACACCATGGGAAAGGCATTAGGTTCGTACAGAAGGGCATGGTGCACCTTCAGCCTGATATCTGAGTGTAATTGGATGCTAGAAACTGCTAAGATAGTGCTAACTCTAAATATTGGGCAGCTATTGTCATTATTATTTATGGGGAAAATTATAATTCATAGGAAAGCGGATGGATGGATGGATTTTACTGGGAGCTAAAATACTGGGCTATAATACTGGGGTATAGAGACTAACTAGAGGAATTAACATTACAAATGAAATTAACAGAGAAAGCAAGGTGTACCGGCAGAGTACCGGCGTGTTTGTGGGGGCCGGCGGAGTGCGGCGTGTTTGTGGGGGCCGGCAGAGTGCGGCGTGTTTGTGGGGCCGGCGGAGTGCGGCGTGTTTGTGGGGGCCGGCGGAGTGCGGCGTGTTTGTGGGGGCCGGCGGAGTGCGGCGTGTTTGTGGGGCCGGCGGAGTGCGGCGTGTTTGTGACCTCTCCCTGTCTCACCCTCTCTGGAAAAGGCCCCTGAAACAGAGCCCCCCGCCTCCCCAGGAAGTACCCCCATTCGGCCGGGCCGGACTCCCTCCCAGAATTCCCAGAGCAGGTACGCCTGCCCCCCTGCCGCACAGTACATTCCCAGCTGCCGGTCACTCACGGCTTTCCTTATTCTTTTAAGGTTCTCACCATTTCCCAGCAGGAAGCATAAGAGAAGCGCGCTGCGTCTACAGGACTTCCGGCTGCTCGCAGTGCTGGGGAGGGGGCATTTTGGCAAGGTATATATACCTATATAATAAGCAGAAGGTATATAGGAGACTCTTTAAATCTGTCATCGGCATTATGCTCTGTAACTATAGTAACTACCTTATTTAAAGGTACAGCATCAGGACCCCCATCTGGGTGCTTTTTTTGCGGCCAGCTGGCCCACCTGCCGCTCTGAGCTCATCTCTATCACAGGTTCTGCTGGCAGAATATAAGAAGACGGGCAGCGTTTACGCCATCAAGGCCCTGAAGAAGGGGGATGTCTTAGCGAGGGACGAGATTGAGAGGTACAGAGGTACACGAGGGGTGTATACAGTTACAGTTTTTATGTAGGAGCTTAATGCCATATTCCAATATTCCTTAGGTGGGGGCTGTGTGTGGCTCAGTGGGGTCGAGTGTTGTGGTGGTGATCGGAAGGTTGCTGGTTCGAATCTCAGGGTCAGCAGAGTGATGTCACCATTGAGCCCCTGAGCAAGGCCCTTACCAGGGCAGTGGTGGGTTAACGGTTAGGGAAGCAGAACTTTTAATTGAAAGATTGCAGGTTCGAATCCTCGACCAGCAAGTCCCCACTGAGGTACCCTGAGCAAGGTACCCCCCCAAGCACTGCTCCCCGGGCGCTGAATTAGCTGCCCCCTGCTATGTCACATATGGGTTAAATGCAGGGGACACATTTCGTTGTTGCGCTCTGTGTGCTGTGGTCTGTCTACAATGACCATTGATGATTCTAATTAACTGCCAGGTGCTGCAGGGTCTGACCCTGCTATCTGAATTGTACATTGCTGTGGAAAAGAGTGTCTGCTAATTAAATTAACTGTAGGTGGAGAGTCTAAAGAGAGTGATGTGTGCTGGTGTACAATGGGATGCATTTTAAAGTGTGTAAAAAAAATCTTCAGCCCCTGAGGACTGTGACAATATCCAGTATGAGCCACCAGAGGGCGCTGCTTGAATAGGATAGAAGGGCAGTAGAATAGATGATTCTGATTCCATACTGTTTCTTCCCGGATTACATCCAGTTTCTTCTCCCCGCTTCTCTTGACTCTGCAGCCTGATGTGCGAGAAGCGGATATTCGAGATGGTCACAGTGTCCCGGCACCCGTTCCTGGTCAACCTGTTTGCGTGTTTCCAGACCCCCGAACACGTGTGCTTTGTCATGGAGTACACGGCAGGGGGGGATCTGATGATGCACATCCACACTGAGGTCTTCTCCGAGCCCCGGGCTATGTAGGCACCCCCCCCCCCCCCCCCCCCCACGTCGGCCTGGCAGTGCCGCATGTAGCTGTGCCAAGCTGCACCTGCACACTTTGGAAACAGCCAAACTCTTTGTGTTTGCCAACTTTGTGTTTGTACATCCCGCCCCCCCACCCCCGCTGTTTGCTCTGAGTCTCTCTCTTTCTTTCCCTCCCCTCAGGTTCTACTCCGCTTGTGTGGTCCTTGGCTTCCAGTTCCTCCACCAGCACAAGATTGTGTACCGGTGAGCAACACTTTCATAGCGGGCCCACTAGGTGGCGCAGCGGTTAAATAACTGTGCTTGCTAGTTATCAACTATATGCATATTTTTTTATATTTTTGTCAGAGACCTTAAACTGGACAATTTGCTGATGGACAGCGAAGGCTATGTTAAGATAGCTGACTTTGGACTCTGTAAAGAAGGTAAGGCAATGTGATTATAGTGCTGGTAAGGGTCATGATGGGTGCTGTGCAGACAAAAGTATATGTAATATATTTTATAGTTTTCAAGTGTGCCGGAAATTAGATAGCTAATGCTTGTCATACTGTAAGTAATAAATACTCTGTCTATTAGAGTAATGATACTCAGTTGTTTTGGACTTTTGCCAACCTCTACCTAGGAATGGGTCATGGAGACAAAACCAGCACGTTCTGTGGCACGCCAGAATTCCTGGCCCCAGAGATACTGACAGACACAAGCTACAGCCGGGCTGTGGACTGGTGGGGACTGGGAGTACTGGTGTACGAGATGCTGGCTGGAGAGGTGAGAGGCGGAGCTGATATACCCGGGCAGCCGGGGTGGCTGGTTCCACACTGACAGACGATGGCTGTGAAAGACTGGATGGTGTGGATGTTTCAGGGGAGGGGCCAGGTCAGGGAACAAGGCCCTCTGGCCTCCTGTAACTCACTCATGCCATTCAGTAGGTTGGTTCTGTGTGCACAGGGAGACAGGGAACAATAGACTGGTTCTTGCGGCTGTGAAATTTTCCTCATTTAAATTACAGAACAAACCATGTATTTGTTTCATGTCTGTAAACTGAATCAAGCCACTAAATCACCATTCTGTCCTACAAAAAAATCTCAATAATGAAGAACATGGCTTTTCACAATGCTTCGAATCTGTCCACTACAGGGTTGTGGTCAGTATCTTTCGAAAAATCTAAATAGTACAGAATAAATCAGAAAAATCAGTTGTGCATTTACATACAAGGAATTAACTTTGGGGTGGCATGCAAAAAAATCAAGCGCGATGAAGACTATCAATGTAATTAAATTATGTACATAAATTATGAGCATATTTCAGATACTGTGCATAATACAATATAACAGGTGGGCTGGGAGGCATAACATGCTTATTCTAATGTAGTGAAAAACATAGTGAAAATATTATGATGTTATTCCTTATAAATCTGCATTCGTGTCACTGTTGAGAAAGTTCACATGCAAGAGCCGGTAACGTGCGTGGCTGACTGTCTGTGTCTCAGTCTCCATTCCCAGGTGACGATGAGGAGGAGGTGTTTGACAGGATTGTTAATGACGAGGTTCATTACCCAGAGTTCCTGTCTACTGAAGCCACTGACCTCATTAAAAAGGTGAGAAGCCCCGCCCACCTCCTACTGCCCTCGTGGTAAAGCTTGGTCTTCGGCTACAGTCGGACTTGGGCTGCCGTAGTAACGGGGATTGATGTCAACCGCAGCTGCTGAGGAAGGATCCGGAACATCGGCTCGGTTCAGACAAGACGGATGCAGAGGAGGTGAAGAAACAGCCCTTCTTTGAAGTAAGAGGGACACAGATTTGTTCTGCTCGTCTCGCCGGATCACTCATACTTATACCCACAGCCTGATCTGCTTTATGGTCCTATAGCCTGCACTATCATGCTCCTAAATGTCATCAAAAAGTAATGTGAACAGTGCTATTGTGGCCTGGGGGGGGAGATTCCAAAAAACAGGATTTCCAAGTTAGCTGGACAAAGCCAAACATGAAAACCGTCGAATAGGAGGAGAGGTAAGAGACATTCCTTTTGGACAATCCTTACATTTGGCTTAAGTTGTTTGGCTAATGAAGAAGATACCCCCCTGATTTGTTATAGCAGAAACCAGTAAATAGACCCAGTGGAAAGAGAGATACACCCATCAGTGATTGATGGTGCACAGTAATACCACCCGCGAGATCTTGCTAAACTAGACCCGTCATCTCTCGGCTCTTAGGGGCTGGACTGGGAGGCTCTTCTTCACAGGCGGCTGCGCCCACCGTTTGTTCCCTCCATCGGTGGTAGGGAGGACGTCAGCAACTTCGATGCGGAGTTTACAGCTGAAGCACCCACCCTGACGCCTCCCAAGGAGCCACGCTCCCTCTCCCGCAAGGAGCAGAACATCTTCAGGGACTTCGATTTTGTTTCAGATCTCTGCTGACATCAGTGAGTATGGGGGTGGGGGGGGGGGGAGCGACTATCCAATGGACTCTACCGTAACTGACGGACTTGGAGAACTAAGCCAGGTTGTCAAAGAAGATTTTCAATTCATGGTCCAACTTCTGCAACTGACACACTTGTGTAATGAATAGTGAAGTTCTGTTCTACTGTACGTCATGCTAAGGAAGTGCTTGCATTTGGCCACTGGGGGGCGCTACAGAAAGGATGTTCGAAAGCCCAATTCAGTGTATTAAAAGAGGTACGTAGGTCTGTGATTCCTAACTGCATTCTTTGTGTTTTCTGATGATGCCTTTTGTAGCATCACATGGTCCTGCTGTCTTGGTCTTATTCTGCAACCACGGTTGTGATAATGAATGACACATAAGAACTTTTAGCTTTTTTATCAATTGGTACAAGATATATTAATAATTGTTACTCATTTTTATGCAGTACAATTAATTGTGTTTTATAATATTTTAAACATTTTTTGTCTCTAATGTTTGAGAGTGTTATTGTATCAGTTTCCCCTCTGCATTGCAAAGGCAACGTAGAAATTTTCAATGCTGGCAGATGCCAGAATTGTTTTTATCATTGGAAAAAGTGTTTCTGCCATTTATTCCAACTCAGGAAAATATAAGTAAATATTTACATATGTGAGAGCGGCATGGTGGGTCAAGCCTCCGCCGGGTTTCCATGTATGACGTTTGCATGTTCTCCCCGTGATGTCGTAGGGTTTCTTCCGGGTACTCCGATTCCCCCCCACAGTCCAAAAACATGCTCAGGTGAACTGGAGTTACCAAATTGCCCATAGGTGTGTGAGTGAATGGTGTGAGTGAATGGGTGAGTGAATGGTGTGTGAGTGAATGGTGTGTGAGTGAATGGTGTG